CATCCGGCATCCTCTTTTCACAACTTTCATTCCCTAATCTCCACAGTTTCGGTTTGTCGCTCGAGCAGCCTCTCTATCTGAGAGAGCCGAGCTTTGTCTTCCTCCATTCTCAGGTGATTCTTTTCTACTGTTATAAGCCCCAATTGCTGCATAAACATTTCATGAAACGAACCCTAACACCTACATTCCAAATCCCTAGAATTCAAAAACTGATATTATTCTGCTTCATCCGTGCTGATTGCGGAATCCAAAGGCATTATTTATGAAAAGCACCTCTTGTTCTGCAAAACCTTGTTGCAACTTCAGTTTGTTACTACTCTCCTATGTTGCTAGTTGCTACAATTTCTTATGATATTTATTTTCGTTAATTTTGCTACCATTATCTTGTAGGCTAGCTTGGCCTTGTATGGGAGAGATTTGTAGGACCTAGCAATTGTAGTTTTGAATGAAGGCTTTTCCTATGGAGGATGGAAGTGTCTACCATGAGAGACAGAGATTGCAGTTCTGTCTGTTGCATGCGCTCAATAATCTTCTCCAGGTAATCATCCATAGATGAAGTTCATAGCTGCATCTATTTCTGGCATGAATTTTTCTGATCAATATATATGCTCCAAGTTACAGTGTCCTTACTAAGAAAATTTTACTCCACTTATTGTTTTGGATAATTTTAAATCTGCATCAAATATTTTTTGAAAATCATGAAAAGCACTACTCTTGTTGTTATTGTCGAAATTGCATTATATACTAGCTCTTTGTTTCATCAATTTTTTTTCTTAAATCATGAAAAGCTCCATAAAAGTTGTTATTGCCAAAATTGAGTTATATACTAGCACTTAGTGAACAACCAAAATGTTGATTTTCGCCTTTCACTTGAAATATTTAAGGTGGGGTGACTAGATGGGGAATTGCTTTAGGGTGTGTTAAGAATATAGCATAAAGGCTTAAATTTAAATTTTATAAAATCGCAGTTCAGCTGCTAGCAATGCTATATGGATTTGATAAATCATTCATATCTAAGTTGAGTGTGACAAAAAAGAGAATGTTAAAGTGGATGCATGGAAAAATTGTAAAAGTTAAATTAAGAAATATTCATATTGGAGTAAATGTAAGAGTGACATCAACTTAATATAAGATAATTACAAATATATGTAAGTCATTTGTACACATGCACTGAAGGATAAATAATATGCTTGTTAAACTAGTTGATGAAATTAGTGTCAGGGGATTAAGAAGAAAAATGAGTGGACCTAAGCTTACATAAATAAAAGTTGCTCAAAATGATTTATAAATCATATTTTCAACATTGCTAGAGGAGGAAAACTTGTGAGTCTTTAGGTATACAAGTACAAAAGAGTAAACACATAAATGGGAATTATATCCTCATTAATATGACTTTAAAACATATATTTTGATAAGTACCAATTTAGTATAGTTATCTACCGTTGCTTCAACTCTCTTCTTCAATTTTGGGCATATAGTGCCTCTAGTTTTTTACAAAAATAAGAGAAAGATAGATGATATTGAGCTTTGGCTAGGATATATGCGACTTTATCAAAATTTGTTTTATGAGGAGTATTAATTTTTTTTTTAGCTAGAACATCATTTCGAATGAAGTGACAATCTACTTCAATATTCTTTGTGATTGCTAATGCAAATCTTATTATGATTATCCTTAAATAATGTCATAGATTGAGTGATTGAAACATTGAATTCTCCTAGAATTTTCTCATCATTTCACCTGTAGAAGGCATCATAGCTCTATCTTGCTTCAAACCTCAATTTTGCCTCGAATAAAGACA